AAACCACCAAACCTACCATCAAGCATGGAGGTGGCAGCATTATGCTCTGGAGCTTTACACAAAGTAAATGAAACAACTCCACGTTCTTTAGAAAGCATCAGCCAAACTGTTGGGTCTAGGATGGAGCTACACATTAAAACACACATTAAAAGAAATGGTTAAATCAGGTTAGAATGAAGGTTTTAGTCTGGTCCTGACCTAAATCCCATCAAGAATATTAAGTTTACATTATCTACACCAATTCTGTCAAGAGGAAAGTCACAGATACAACCAGAAACCTGCAGCAGACCTACAATAAATCTTGGAAATGCATGATTTGTGACAAGGAGTCGTGTGTTTCAATGATTCCATCATAAAAAAATACGACTTATAGGAATCGTTGGAAACTCAAGACTGCCGTGATGTACGTGGTCTTTACAAGTTTATGGAAACTTTTGTCCTCAACTGCTTGTCCCACTTGCTACCATATATATTGTATTAAAGAGCCCATAGCTTTGCTTTGGGGATTTTTCTCTTTCCTTTGGTTTGTTATAAACTGTAGCAGCACACCGAATGGAGTTATCGACTCCCACAGAAAACACTCACCTGCCTGAAACGTCTTGTTTTCTTCAGTTACCTGTTTATGTCACCATGTAGCACATCTGCATGGCCTAAAATAATGATTCAACCTGGCTAATGTAGAACTTAATAGAATAGAATAGAATAGAATGCCTTTATTGTCACTATACACATGTACAATGAGATTAAGAGCAGCTCCTTCAGTGCAATATAGAATAAAGTACAAAATAAAGAGCAAAAAAATAAAAAATAGAAGAGATTTAAGTATAAAATAAGATAAGTTATATATACAATATACAGTCTTACAGTTAAAGTATGACCCTACAAAATGATGCAAAATGTACATGAAAGCCCAACAAATCCAAACCTTCTGTGGATCCCCTACGAGCCAAATGTGCATTATTCTAATTTTAATTTTCATATGCATTATTTTAGTGCCGCTACAAAGTGTGAAAGCATGAAAACACATTCTAGTAGACCCCAAAATAAAATTATGAACCTTAACATGTGCATAATATGAGCTCTTTAAATGGGCTGAATGAAAAATAGAAACCTGATGGACATTCTGCAAATTATCTATACGTTGAGGAACTTCTTTTCAAATTCTTTCTATTTATTTGACCTTCATCAGCAGATCAAAAC